CCGTCCAGCCAGTGACCGTCCAGCCAGAGACCGTCCAGCCAGAGACCGTCCAGCCAGTGACCGTCCAGCCAGTGACCGTCCAGCCAGAGACCGTCCAGTCCGAGACCGTCAGCCCTGCCGAGCCTGCACTTCACTCAAGCCTCGCGAGTGATGAAGCTCGAGTTCAAGTGAGTCATCATGAGTCTTCAGTTCATGTGATTGAATCTTCAGTTCAAGTGAAACGCCGCCGCAGGAGGAGAAGGAGGGCTCGTTCAGTTCGCCAGGCTTCGGTGAGCTTACCAGGACTCCTCGCCCTGCCGGCCCCGCCTCTGCGCCTCGCCCTGCCGGCCCCGCCTCTGCGCCTCGCCCTGCCGGCCCCGCCTCTGCGCCTCGCCCTGCCGGCCCCGCCTCTGCGCCTCGCCCTGCCGGCCCCGCCTCTGCGCCTCGCCCTGCCGGCCCCGCCTCTGCGCCTCGCCCTACCAGCCCCGCCTCTGCGCCTCGCTCTGCCTGTGCCTTTCAAGCTCTGTTCAAGCTGTGCCCTTCAATTCCCTGTGGACTTCTCCAAGTATTTTTTGGGGGGGGGCAGTAGGTACCTTGTGAGGGCCATGGAGGCGATACAGACATGGCCTTCATTTCGTCCTGCTCCGCAGTGGCCGCCTGAGGGGTCTTCACCGCCGTGGCCGCCTGAGGGGTCTTCACCGCCGTGGCCGCCTGAGGGGTCTTCACCGCCGTGGCCGCCTGAGGGGTCTTCACCGCCGTGGCCGCCTGAGGGAGCTTCACCGCCGTGGACGCCCGAGGGTCCCACAACTCCGCCCTGGTCACGTCCACAGCCTGCTCTGCCCTGGCCATGCCCACATTTTGCTTCGCCTTGGAAGCCCGAGGGTCCGACAGCGCCGCTCTGGTCTTCGACTGCTCCGACCTGGTCGCCTCCACAGCCAGCTCCGCCACAGTCTCCAGGTCCTCTTCCGCTCCACGGGCCTGGTCCTCCACATTTCTCCTGGACATTGTAAGGAGCGTCTGGAATCCGCTCCTTAAAGGGGGGGCTATGTAACGGTTACCAGCTGGAGTGCCCTATTTATCCACCAGAGGGCACTCCAGATAAGACTAGGTTTCACACGAACTCCATTTCCCATAATGCCCCGTACCTAGGTCTAATCACCAACACAGGTGTTCCTCATTTACCCCTCCATATAAGCTGCTCTCTGACTCTCAATCAGGGCGAAGTCTTGTTTTGCCCTGGCAACATTTCTGAGCGTTTTCCCTGTGATTATCTGGATTCTCTGGTTATCGACCCTCGACTGTTCCTGGACTTTGATTCTCTGTTTGCTGCCTGCCCCGACCCTTGCCTGTCTCTCTGGATTACGATTGTTGCCGCCTGTCCTGACCTCTGCCTGGTATTGTTTATGATCTGGATTGCCTGCTCTATATTGAATGCTGATCGTTGACTTCTGCCTGTCTGACTCTTCTTAATAAATATAACTGCACATGGATCTGCACGCTTCTGACTCTTCATGACATGGAGTTCTTTAAAGGTTCGGAGGACGTTATTTTGCGACCTTCACGGAACATTCGGGACGTTCTCAGAACGTCCCCACTGGTGTCAAACACGTTGCCTAGTAACGTTTCGGGAACGTTCGGAGACGGTCATGATGTGGAGTTCTTTAAAGGGTCAGAGGACGTTATTTTGCGACCTTCACAGAACATTCGGGACGTTCTCAGAACGTTTAGGGGACCAATGTTTTATTTGGATATGTGACGTTCCCAGAACGTTCTAAGCCCGTCTCCAGTGTTGTCAAAGACCTGTAGGTAAACAAACTAGAATGCAGAAACTTTTTCAAATTTGTTCTTGAAGAACCTTAATCAGGAATAAGCATGCATTTAACGTTTTAACACATTCAAAGATACAATACAAAGCAGAGATTCGTTATTTATTTATTTATTTTGTGTAATCAAAAATCAGATTATGAATTAATAATAATGTGATCATGCATAGGCGTAATAAATCAACAGTAAATAATATTAGGACAAGACAAAGATTTATGTTAATTTAATGTTATGTAAATTATGAACAACAAGTAAAAAGAAAAAACTGAAATATATTTAATTAAATAACTATTAAATATATACAGTGTGTGTGTGGTGTGTGTGTGTGTGTGTGAGAGAGAGAGAGAGTGTGTGTGTGTGTGTCCTATTCTACAAATTAGCAAACTCATAGGGTCATATTTTTGTTGATAAACATTATCAATTTGGCCAATTATGCACATTTCTTGGTGTATAATGGTGCCAAAAAATTGTTTTATACTTATATAAAAAACTTTCTCTCTGTGACTTTAAATGTACTGATGTCTGACTACTTTACATCTACCACTGTCGAAGGTGCTCAGTTTTGCTATTATAAAACTTATACAGAACATGATAGTAATCAGCCATCCATCCAAAAGCAGAGGTCGGTGTGGTGTACAGGTACATCTGTCCAAGCCAACATCTCATGCCTTGATCCCTTCCGCTGTGGATTCCAGAAAACCTGCAATAAAAAAAAATAGTACAGTTCAAAATCTATCATGCATACATCTCATCTGGTATCACAAATTATCATTCCACGTTCAATAAAAAATTAGAGTTAGGTTAAATGCTAAATATTACGGCAGGACAATATTGAAAACCTTAAATAAAATATCTATTTTGTTTATCTGCTGCTATATATATTGCGATATAAAAACAAATTTCAAGAGATTATTTATTTAGAGTGAATCTGCATTGAAAATTATAAACAAATTACAAGCATAGATAAATTCAAAAGAAGAAAAATACAATTGAAATAAGCAGTGCATGATGTTTTTTTTTTAGGAAAATCTAACTTATCAGGTACGGAAATTGAATTATCGAATGTAAAATAAGTCTTTACTGAGGTACAGCCTCTCCCTAGTCTTACAAAATGACAAACAACCAGCCTGGAAAACACATGTTGTATGAAGACTGTTTAAAACACCCCTCCTAATCCTCACAGAATTTGCAAGACAATGTCTAATAGTGTGTGTAGTTTCTTCAGTACCGTCAGCAGAACCGAAAACATCTGAGCTTATCGATACTGCGGTCTTCCTTAATTTGACCCCCGTTTAATGTTTAATACCGGGTTTCGGAACCTATTCCTATGCATGGGTGAGTTCATATGGATGAAGGCCTGTTGTGTTCGGTCTCTTGGTTTGTGATAGTGGCAGCTATTGTGAAACTCACCTTCGTCATGTACGATGTCATGTTCAGTGTGGATGGCATCAAGATCTTGTCCTGAAGAATCACAGGGTCAAATGATTGACATCTCATCTGGTAACAAGAGCATAGCCATAACTTTAAAAACTCTAATGATATCTTTACCCCCTGATAATGTATTGCAGATATACATTCAAACATTTTAAAGGCTAAGAGTATGAGCCATGAGTAAACTGGACAGATATCTGTGAAAAATAACTTGCGTGCCTAAAGTTGTCGACTTCCTGAATTCAGCTTTTGAAAGTAAAAAGAATTTCAGTATTTATCAGAAAAAAAAACTACATAAAAAATACCTTTGAGTTGGACAGTATGATGTCTGTCTCATTGGCTAACATAATTAAAAACACACCAAGAGAAAAAAATAAAAATAAATATATATATATATATATATATATATACCAATGACCATTATCCTGTTATAATAATAGTTAAATGAATTATTATAACTATGACCATTTTTATAACATTATATTTGCCGCCTATTATTTAGCTTACTGGCTTCTCAAGGACAATCTCCCTGAAAAAAACTGGGGTTAATGATTTTAAAGTGTGTGACTTCATTCAAAAGTATAAATCCTACAGAGTGCAGACCCACAACAATTGAACAGTAACTTATGTTTGAAGTTTTGCTTACTAGTCGAGTTCATAGCCGTGGAGAATGAGATTGTCTTGGACAGGGGGTGCAGCAGGCCAACCAGCATGATGATCTTCTAGAAAATAACATGCAATGTGTCACAGAGCCAACAATGTTAGCACATAGAATTTACAAAAGAACAAAGGGTTTATTACAAGGAAGCAAGCTAGAGCAGAGATAAAAATGCAGAAAAGATAAAGAATATATATAAAAAATCTTAAGGTAATATATTGTGCAAAAAACGCATATGAAATTGTTATCATGATTAAACAATAATTCCCCCTTTGTTGTGAAGGTTTTTTTCTGTTCCTCCTGAAATCACTTATTATCAATCTTAAGTGACGTCATTAACAGTACGTTACATTGAATTATTTCAGGTTAAATAAAAGCTTACTTCCCACCACCACTGACAAATTACCAGCAAAACAAAACTTTTAAAAACTGTTATCAACACACAAATGTGGTTAAAAACCCAAACTTATGTAAAACAAGAGCTCAATTGTAACGTAAACTTATAGCTGCTAAAGTTAGCTCTTCTGAAAACGGAGATGCTAACGGACTTTTTCGAAGACACAAAACCATTTCTATAAAGTAAATATTCAACAGAAGTGTATCAATTACACGTAAGACATATATCAGGAAGGTTTGTATGTATTATTTGTGTGATTTTGGTAACTAAACTTACCTGAAAGCAGAGAAAACAACAGTGAGAGACGCTAGTTTTGCTGTTTGACAGTTGATGAGGTTTCCTCGTTTCCATGGTTTCCATCTGCTCACGCGCGCTCCTGTCTTTGAATTGCGACTCAATGTTTACGCGCACGCCCATTGAAACCATAGAACACGTCAAAAGGCACGCAGCATTTAAATAAACATTATAACATTTAACAATTTGAAATATCATTAATTTTAAATAATGAATTTAAAACTCATTGTGTAGTTATATGACCCATTCACTTGACAATTATGTTTTTTTATACCATTTTGCTATTGTAAAATAAATAAACAATTCGTTCTGTTGGATGTGTTACTTTTCAAAACACATCAAACAGAACAAAAGTTGTTTATTTATACAATAACGTGCTTATTTTTCAATTAAATGTCATCTATAGAATATACACTGTAAAATGTAACTGATGATCTTACTAATAACATTAAGTGAATAAAACTTATTTTGAATAAGTTTGTTGACCTTACTAAGTTTGATAAAGTAAGGACAACGTTTTAGCACGGTAAGTTATTAAACTCAAAAGATTAAATTAACCTCTACTTAAAATAATAAGTATGTTGAACATTTTCGAGTGGTCATGCGCAGTTCTACCAGTAGGTGGAGCCGATTTGAAAACGTAATACCATTATTTCGGATGAGGAAAGCACATGGAAAGGTGAGTCAGTGCTTTTTATGTCTTATTTTAATGTCTGAATTGCTTAATATACACAATTGACCGTGTAATAAATGAAACAGATTAAACAATCTAGCGTTACAAATGAACATTGGATGTGTTATTTTAATCAAATTCTTGGATTGTGTTGGATTGTGCTAATCGAAATGAGCAGTCTAGCATTTGCAAATCGGTAGCCTAATCGTTAGGTCCATGCTTTTAATCAAGGAACATACTTTATGATACAACTGTTTTTTGGGAGAACTATTCTTTTAATGTTAATAAAACAAAAGTCACTGAAAATCACTCACTCAAATACAGTGGCTTTAATAAGAATACATTATTAATGTATAGTGTCAAGCCAATTTATAGGGTTTATCTTATTTATATATTATGTTGTGTATATGTAACGTGTATCTTTATTCCTATTTCTTTATTAACAAAGATTAAACAATTACTAAGCTTTTTATTATCATTAATTTTGACCTAAAATGTCTGCTATTCTATTTTGTTTTTAGCTTTGTTTTTTGAAAATATGGAAATTTGTTTGGCTGTAATGCAAAACAGTAAAACCAACATGAAAAGAATTGTGATATCATATTTTGCCATATCGCCCACCCCACACTTTAAATGTTTGAACACTATTGATTTATAAATTAAAATACAAAGCTGTATATTAAAAAAGTGTGTATTTTAATATTATTTTCTTCATTTGCAGAGCTTGCTTTGTGAGATGAGACATGGAAAGGAAATGTAAGTACTGTTTTTTTCCCCCTATGAAAATAGAGCTCTCCTCTTGAACCATTATCGTATAAAACATGGAAGCTACACCAGAACTACACCATTTCCATGTCTTCACACAGACTGTTTGTGTTCATTTAAGTCATAAATATATACCTTTACGTTTATCTGAAGAATAGAGGTACATTTGGGATACTACGAGATTGAGTAAATAAGGCAATTTTCAAGTATCCCTATAACGCAGTAACCAAAAGCCTAATAATAGATATAACATTGTTCTTTTTCCTTTTACAGATCAATGCAGAGTTTATTCGCATCACAAGCAAAAACCTCAAGCAAGAATTTTTTACAGCACTTGATCAACATACAGCTCCATTTCTGGCAGTTGGAAAGAAAACTTTCTGAATTTGTGGTAAGCTTGTCTATGCTTATTTCTTAAACTAATTTTTGTAACTGTTATTTCATAAAATTTAATTCTATGTTATAAAACTTTTTTTCAGAGCAGCCATCACATTTTAAAGTAGTTTATTCAGACTAATTTTAAATTTAATTTGGTTTTCCAGGGCACTGACATCACTGCAAATCGCACAGCAGTTCTTTGTGGACTTCCCCTCATTTTTGGAGAAGACACCTCAGACTTTTTCAAAACAATATTGGCAAGTACCATTCTCTGTATATTTCTCTCTAAACTAATCCCCCACACATACATTACATATAGCCATTCAATTATTCTTCATTCAACTATCCCAGAAACAGACCAGACACAAACTCTTCAAATGTAATTGTACATTTTCTTGTGTGTTTGTTCTGCCATCATTGCACTGTGCATTGTTTTCTGATGTCTAATTTTCATACAATACTTTAATGTTTACCTGTTAGTTGAGTTGTATGTAGAACAGAAGGTAATGGTCCTGATTCTTTAAGTTACATGCACATTTGTGAGATTTCCTATTTGTAATGTAACTAGAATTTTAATATTTCTGTATTTTTTTTATTAGGACTGTGATTGCAACACACCCAAGATTTCCATTGGGATTATAACTGTGATGACTGAAGAAACTCAGGATTCTTCACAAGCACTGCATTTAGAGGCTTCACACACAGCAATTGTCCTACAAGGAGCCATTGTTATGGATGAACTTCAAAAACTTCCGGATGCCATGTGCCTACTTTTTGGGCTGATATACTGTATGCGTTTAATACGAAGTACACTCCACAGCTCAAGAACATCTTTGATTTTATTCAGAGACTGTTTCTTTCTCTGGGACACAAATTCCTGAAGCCTAAACTACAGTCACCTGAAAACATGCTGCTCATGTAAGTAAATGTTGTTTCAGATTAAAAAAATTCTGTCATAATTTACACTCCATCATCTTGTTTCAAACCCGTAAGAGAAAGGGTCTAGTCTTAAAATAAATCATAAATACATCTTAATAATCTCTTTATATCTTTTAAGTTAGGGTCATCTGGACTATCAATAGAGGGACATAAAATGCTTAACTGGTTAATTTTAAATATTTGTATTTGTGTTTCCAAGAATATCCAAACTTACAGGTTTGTTATGAGATGTGGGAGAGTAAATTATGACAGATTTTTCAGTTTAGTGGCTATCCTGTTACTATCCCTTTAAAGGGTTAGTTCACCCAAAAATGAAAATTAAGTCATTAATTACTCACCCCCATGCTGTACCAACCCCGTAAGACCTTCGTTCATCTTCAGAGCACAAATGAAGATATTTTTGATTAAATTTGAGAGCTGTATCACTGCTACATAGGCACTCTAAGGGATCGAAACTTGAGGGCCCAGTAAGTCAATGAAGAAAATGTTTAAATATTCCATGACTACAGTGGCTCAAGTATAAGTTTATCAAGCGACGAGAATACTTTTTGTGCGAAAAAACAAACAAATATAATGATTTTATTCGACTATTCCTTTTCTTCCTTGTAGGCCTGAAACAAGAGATAACGAGATTTCCATGACGCATGTGTGCGAGAAATCTTTTTAAGTCTTGTTTCAGGCCCAGAAGAAGGAAAAGGAATAGTCGAATAAAGTCGTTATTTTTGTTTTATTTCCCCACAAAAAGTATTCTCGTCGTTTGATAAACTTATAGTTGAGCCACTGTCGTCACATGGAATATTTAAACATTTTCTTCATTGACTTTCTGGGCCGTCAAGTGTCTATCCCTTAGGAGCATATGTGGTAGTGATCCACCTCTCAAATTTAATCAAAAATATCTTCATTTGTGTTCCGAAGATGAACGAAGGTCTTACGGGGTTGGTACAGCATGGGGGTGAGTAATTAATGACTTAATTTTCATTTTTGGGTGAACTAACCCTTTGAGTTTGTGGTTGTACAAAATTTCTAAAATACACAAAACATTTATAAATTGTCACTTGTCAACCTTGGTTAAAAATGCTTTTCTTGTTTTATAACAGTTGTATTGTTAAATGCTTTTGTTTAACATATTTTTACATTGCAACTTAAGTGTCAATTTTCCTGCATTACCCTAATGTTGATGCTTTTTAGTTGCATTTGCACTGCACATTTGAATTGCTTTAGGGTTAACAAGAATAACAATGTGTTTTTGTGATTAAAATTGTTTGTTACATTAACAAAAAACTGTTTGGGGTGTCTGAATGACATTGTTTAGTACACTGTTGTGCATAAGGACAATTGATGAGTAATAAATAATGTTTTACCCGAGTTCAGTTTTGTCTTTTTGTCTTAACTTAATTTGTTTAGTTCAGCTTACTTCAAAATTTTAAGGCAATCGGTTTCCTAATTTTTTCCTAGTAATGTGAACTCTAATAAGAAGTTAACACAACTAATAATTTTGAGTCAACTTTACTTGAGTATACTTGATTTACAAGTTGTCTATACAAATGCTATTAAGTTGCGCCAACTAAAAATTAATACAATACTTTACTTGGAAAATTTAAGGCAATCGGTTTCCTCACTTTTTCTAAGTAAAGTCAACTTGTTACATTTTACAGTGTACAGTACAATACAACAATTTTCAATCTTCATAGCAGATTTGTTCCCTTTTTGTGGTAGTTTATTTTGAAAAAATAAGCAGATCTGCCATGTCCTCTTTGTAACGTTGTTAAAGTAATAACGGGGACGTTTATATGACAATCAGAGAACCGTATGGGAACGTTCTGTTGACGTCCCGAATGTCCTCTTTGTAACGTTGTTGTGTGACCATAGAATAACCAGTATGGAACGTCCTCCTGAAGTCACATTGGGAACGTTATTATATGACCAACAGGGGACTGTATGGGAACGTTCTGCTAACGTCCCGAATGTCCTCTTTGTAACGTTTGTTATGTGACCTTAAAATACCCCAAATAGAACGTCCCCCTAAGGTCATATAAGGAACCTTGAACTGCAGCACTTTCATAACCAAAAGAGGACGTTCTATGAACGTCCTCAATGTTCTATAAAGGTTCGGAACTTTCGTTACCTTTAGAGAACTTTTAGGGAACGTTGCATAAGGTCGCGAGAACGTCCCCTCCTACGTGGGAAAATCCCGAATGTGAAAACGATCTTAAAATGTTTTTAACACCCTGAAAAATCGATTGACCTAGCCTGTTGCTTTATCGATTAAACAAACAAATAATAGCATTAAAAGATTAGAAGATTGTTGTGAGTTATCATGAGATACAGAGAACACCATTTAGCCTAAACACATTGTCATTGAAGATCCGCTGTTAGTTAACATTCGTATAATTTATTGAGCAACTTACTTATTTCTGTGCCTGTGAACGGCTCCTGAATATGCGTTCCCCTGGAACAGACTTGACGGATATCCATGAGTGAGAGAAAAGCTTATGATAAATAAAACTGATAACTGTACACTAGGGAAAGGTGGCTGGCAAATCATTGTCTAAAATCAAAATCAAAACAGTCCAAAACATGCACAGTGTCAGCGCGAGAAAAGTTGAGCAGCGTTTCAGGCTCTGGAGACCAGAGAATAAGGAGAGCGCGTTTAACTTACAGCTAAGTTTGACAAAGTTCGAAGAACTCCGAAAAAAATTGAAGGTGGACTCTAGTCTGCAGGGGTTCAGCCCGCCGCCTATCTGAAAGAAGAAGGGGGTGGTGGATGGGGGTAGGGGAAGTCATTGGAAAAAAACAAAAAACAATAGCGCCCCTGCATACCCCACCATGCGTGCTTTAAATGAACACGGTTTGAGAGCTCAATTGAAAACATCTGTCTTTATCTCTGTTACAGGAAACTATTATTTGGTGATCGTGTGCACGCAAAACTTCTCAAAAACAGTGAATAAAAAAAGAGAAATTCTTCGATTTGTTTACACAGAGTTGCAAAAGCATTTGGCACTTTTAACCCCACCTATGTGTGCTTATCAGATCGCCTATTCTTGCCTGTGTTGTCTTCAAAATGCTGATTAGGTCATTTTAAAGCAATAAATAAGGATTGATCATAGATAGATAGATTTCTTTCATGGGGATATGGGGATTATTTAAAGTTATTTTACTTCAAAAAGCTTTCACTGATGATGACTATTAATCCACAACCCAGATAGCACAAGTGTATTTGATGTAATATTTACATCTGTAAGACGTATTTTTAAGAGTGTTTGCTCATCTGCAATACGTCTATAGGACGTCTCCTGTCAGATGTCAAATAGACATTTAGAAGATGTCTTTAAGATGTAATGATTTAGAATGCACATTAAACTGACATCTTCTAAACGTCTATTTGACATCTGACAGGAGACGTCCTATAGACGTATTGCAGATGAGCAAACAAAAATACGTCTTCAAGATGTAAATATTACATCAAATAGGCTTGTGCTATCTGGGAAGTGATGCCAAATTAGCAATTATTTCAAATTTTAGCAGTAAACAAGATGTTATCGATCAACTTTATACCAAGCATAGGCAGAAATTGTGTGAAGCTGGACAAGGCTTCTGGCCACGCGTGATTTTTACTCAAACCATGACTGCTGCTGCATCTGATTGCTTTTGGAGGTAAAGCTTGCCCATAACTGCTGGTCAGTTTTCTCTGTGATAACAGCATTGGTGATTTGGCAAACAGATCATGTGTTCGGCAAAGGTTTCTATTTACAACAGTGTTTTTGCAGCATTGTAGTTCTGCACATCAGAGATTCATTGTGCTGTGTTGACAGAGAGCTTCATTGATTATAAAAGAATTTTGTGAGACGTGATTAAGATGAGACAGCTTTTTAGTGTTTAAAGGGTGTGCTCTTTGTGCATTTTCTATGCGTAAAATTATGTAATTAATACATTCAGAATTTGAATAAAACTTTTGTATTGCCAGTGGCCACACACATGCTGCAAAGTTTCAGAATTGACATAGAAATTGCTATAATTGATATAGTGATAACCATAGCAATGGATTGGACAAAATTGTATGTAGAATAAACCCGGGTACAAACACAGGAATCGGCTGCATTAGGTAAGGCAATTAGCCAATTAATTTTCCATGCCAAATCATGCATATGCTTACATTTCTGTTCAAATTAACAGTGTGAACATAACTGCTTTAAAAAATAAATAATTTATCAGGAGTGTTTATGCTTGGATGTGTAGGTTAGCAACATGTACAATATGTAAAACTATTTAATGGAAAGCTATTCTTGTGTTTTTAAAGGGGAAAGCGCTTGGAATTGGCTCACTCTGCTGTGGTGCCAAGTAGATCTGGAAAATGAGATGTCCTCGTTCTACTAAATACTACATATCCACATACTAGCTACTTTTTATCACAGAAATAAGCTCTAGCCTCTCCTCATACAACCTCGTCATTGACTGCAAGTGGAGGATTCCACATCGAGGATGATCGAAGAGGATTTCTTTGCTTCAGCTGCCATTAAAGCCAACCTTCATGTTTTAAATAATTCAAATGTAAATGACAACGTTCAATAAACAGGAAAGCCTATTTTCAGAAGTATCTTCTGTAAACTACTTCATCAGACTGTTTATAAGGAAATTTTTACTAGAGTTTGTGCTCCAGTAAAAAGGGAATAGCGACGCCCCAGGGGATTTATTTGATCTCAATAACTAAAAAGTAAAAACTAAAATAAAGAAACTACTGAAAGAACGTAAAATATGAGTGAAAATGCAGCAGTTGAAAATACTTACTCATTCTCTAAACCTAACTTCAGAGCCTGAAACTGTTCCATAAAGCAGCCTGAACAGATTGTCCTCAGTATTGTTCATGACTGATGCATCACACTCCTGACAAAAATGCACGTCTTTGTGTTCATGGCCAAGGCTTAGGCTACATTGTAAGAACACTCAATCAACATACGTACATGATTAAATCACTAGAGATGTAATTAATTATTCTGAGAGAATGTTAATGAGGTAATTACCAGAAAATTGGATTAAACAAAAACAACATCCTATCACAGCTATTACGAGATGCCAAGCAGCTTCTTGTTCATTCGTGTTGGTTTCGGCTGTGCTCGTGTGGTCATACTCCAGCAGAGGGCAGTGTACACCCATGAAACATTGAACGCAAAACGACGACAAAAAAAAAAAAAAAAAAAAAAAACGCTCAGCGTGAAGCGTCTAGGTCTAGGCTTGCGAAATCATGCTGTTGCATGTCATCGCGTTGCTGAAAATGACTCAAGATGCATGTGCAATCACCATACAGATCTCGTTATGAGACAATACATTTTTCCTTATAAAAATGTATATAGATT